CTCTCTCTCTCTCTCTCTCTCTCTCTCTCTCTCTCTCTCCTCTCTCCTCTCTCCTCTCTCCCTCCGTGTGTGTGTGTGTGTGTGTGTACCCAGCTTCCCCCTGATACCCAGAACCCCTGCCACTGATGATTTGTAATGCAGTAATTGGATATTTTATTACATACTTATGTTACAGTTCAATATTCATTATACTTTGTTTGCTTGTTTGTTGAGACAAGGTCTCACTATGTATCCCTTGGTTGTCCTAGAACTCACTATATACCCAGGCATGACCTTAACTTCTGATCCCCCTGTTTCTACCAGTTACTGCTAGGCTTACATATGTGTGACACTGCCCCCATTTTTATGGGGTGCTGGAGACTGGACCTCAAGCATGCTCAGGAAGAATTCTACCAATCAAGCTGCAACCCAAGCCTTCCATTATACTTCAGTGTGTGGAAGTGCACATACGTGTGGAGGCCAGAGATCAACATCAGGTGCCTTCCTCCATCACTCTACCTTATTTCCTGAGACAGGGCCTCACACTGAACCAAAGCTCACTGATTTGGCTATAGCTACTCCTAGGGATCCTCCAGTCTCGACTTTCCCAACTGAGATTACAGATGCACTGCCATGCCTGGAGAGATGTGTGTGTGTGTGTGTGTGTGTGTCCATTTATTTATTTTATGCACATGAGTGTTTTGCCTATGTGTATGTATGTGCACCACATGTGTGTCTAGTGCCCGTGGAGATCAGAAGAGGGCACTGAATATCCTGGAACTGGAGTTATTGGAGGGGTGTGAGCCACCACTTGGACACTGGGAATTGAGCCCTGGTCCTCTGCAAAAACAATGAGCACTTTTAACTGCAGAGCTGTATCTCCAGACGTTATGTTCAGATTTTCATGTGGGTGCTGGGGACCCAAACTTGTGGTTGAGTGGCAGGCACCTTATAAACTGAGTCATCTCCCTAGCCTAGCCCCCCCCCCCCAATATACTTTTTTGTTTTGTTTTGTTTTTTCAAGACAGGGTTTCTCTGTGTAGTTTTGGTGCCTGTCCTGGATCCTTGCTCTGCAGACCAGGCTGGCCTCCAACTCACAGAGATCCGTCTGGCTCTGCCTCCCAAGTGCTGGGATTAAAGGTGTATGCCACCGTCACCTGGCCAATATACTTTTATTTATTTTTATTTTTACGTTTTTGTTTTTTCCAAGACAAGGTTTCTCTGTGTAGCCCTGGCTGAACTGGAACTCATTGTGTAGACTAGGCTGGCCTTGAACTCAGAGATCTGCCTGCCTCTGCCTCTCCAGTGCTGGGATTAAAGGCATGCGCCACCACCACCTGGTGTATTTATTTTTTAAACTTATGCATATGTGAGTATGTCTGTGTGTCTGTGTATGGATATGTTTACATAAATGCAGGTCCCCAAAGCCAGGGGAGTCGGATCTCCCTGGGGCTGGCGTTACAGTTGTAAACTGCCTGCTGTTGGTGCTGGGAATTGAACTTGCATCCTTTGGAAGAGCAGTATATGCTCTTGACCACAGCTCTCCAGCCCCCGTGACCCTTCTTTGCAGTCCAGTCCCAACCTAGTTCTGCTCTGTTTGCAGACATGACCGCACCCACCATCCTGTCTGATCCTTATAAACCTTCGCACGGGCTCTGCTTCTGTTTCCCAGCTGAGGGAATTTAGGCTGAGGAGGTTCCGGGACTTCTCAGAGATCACACAGCTCCTAACTGGTGGAACTGGAACTCAAGCTCAGGATTTGTCTTCATGGGCTCTGCCTGCTGGGACGGGGTGTTTGGGGCCATTTGAAGGTAGATGTAGGGTGAGGGAGGCACTAGGGGTTGGGGGGAGAAGAATGAAGGGTGAGAATCCTGGAGATGAGAGAATACGAGCGAGCGGGAATAGAGTTCCTGTCCCAAGTGGCCGTCGGGCTCCTGGGGAAGCGTTGTCTCCACAGGGTGTGAGTAGAGGCAGAAGATTGGAAACAAACGGGGTTGGGGTGCAGCTGGGAGGTAGGATGATGATGAGTATCATGGAACCCTGGATGGGAAAGGTACGACCACAGCTTCCCGTTAGTTTCTAGACTGTACGTCCCCCCCACCAGGGGGCCACCATCCTGGGTGGCTCCTTTATGAGCCTCAGGCCTCTCTGCTGCCAGTGGAGGCTTCAGGGAGCAAGGCCAGATCTTTCACACCTAAAGGCCTTTATCCGGGACCCAGCAGGACTTTTTCCCAGCTAGTGCGAGCAGGAGCCTGGTGTATGTGTCGGTTCAGCTTCACGAGGGTATGAAAGCAACGCGTGCTCACTGGGAACCATGGTTCATGTCTAAATCTGGATCTTCTCTGGCCTGGTGGTATGCAGTGTGGTACCAAGCCAGTGGTGACAATCCCACGGCAGCCCCTGGACCAAGAGGGTCCTCAACAGCACGGTGTGTGGCTGAGCCAGTGTGCTCGGTTGGGTAGATCCTGTTTCCCACATTCGACTTCTGGTGTTCCCAACTTACAAAGGGCCATTACCCCCTTGCAAACAGAGGGGCATGTCTATTCTCTGCCATCCCCTGGTCTGGACCTTGATACCCCAAGCCCACTCCCTGGGTCTGTACTTTAGAAGTCAGATGCCTCCGCCCATTTTATTGTGTATACAGTCAGCGCTGCATACATGTCCTCCACGTCTGTGGGCTCAGCTACCTATAGATGGAACACATTTGAAGGAACAGCTACTTCACCCAGCACACTTACTCTGCCAGGTACTGTGAACCATCAAGAGGGTTCAAGGACACAGGAAGACATGCAAGTTCTGTGACAACACCACCCTTTACATAGGGGACTGGGGTATCTGGTTCGTGGAGCCCTAAGGGGGTCCTGGAACCACATCATGCAGATCCTCAAGGACAGCTGTGTTGTTCACTGAGGTCCTGACAAATGTCACCTCAGCCCATCCCAATGAGGAGAGTGACCCTGGTGTCTGTGGTTCAGATTGACAGGAGGGGCAGCGGGTAGGCTGACAGCTGCTAATGCCTGAGGTGCCGTGGAAGCCGGAGGGAGGGTTTTTGTGTTGCCTAGGGAAACGTGGTCCAGTGTTCCCATGCAGGGTATGCTGGGAAGTGGGCTGAACGGAGAGACCTGACCAGTACCAACCACCACCCGCCTGCAGTGCATCCTGGTAGCCTCCTTGTGCCCACCCCAGATATGAGAGCACTGAGGTTCAGAGAGGTAGATGTATGTACTCAAAGTCACACAGCTAAGATGCCCAATACAGCTCTGGTGCAGCCCCCTTCGGAGTGGCTCAGGGGAGGCAGGTGGGAGGGCTGAGGTAGGGCCCAGAGGTGCTGGGAGGAAACAGGGACTCCAAGCCCAGCGCTGGGTATGTGCCAGGCCATCAAGGCCACTGGCAGCTGACATTGAACAGGCACAGGCCAGCCTGGGATGTTTCGCTCCACAGACACACATGGGTCATCTGGGACACGTCTGTTGTGCCTTTATGAGTGTTTTTTCAAACATCAGGCTTGGCTCTGGAGCCGTCACTATGGAGACAGCTCTGGGTGAGTGAAGCCGCTGCCCTCTGTGGCTACACATGAAGGCTGCCAGGTGTGTAGGGTACCCCAGAGGCACTCTTGGACGACGAAAGGCTAAACCCGGTCCCACGAAGAGTGGAAAGGTCGGTCCGTGCCATGGCTGTGGAGCTCTGTGGGCAAGGGCCTACTGTGGCCCCCTGTGTACCTCTCTGGGGTCAAAAAGTGCCTTTCACTGCCCACCACCCTCAGAGCCAAGACAGACTAAAGCAGAGTTTGAGCCCCGACTCCTGGCTTCAAACACCCTAAAACCTCACACCGAAACCCTCCTCTATAAACAGGGAGACTGAGGTCCAGAGAACAGAAGTGATTTTTTTCCGAGGTTGCGGTCACAAGCGAGACCTCACTGTGCCCTCTGGGACTGACTCAGAGTCTTGGCCCATTCTCGGTCTTCACATGGCTCTCCCAAAGTGTGGCTGACTGCTGGGCCCCAGCGGGGCGCACAGCACATGCATGCGGGGAGGCAGTCTCCAGGGAGGCTGGCCTGAGCCCTCCTTGGCTCCCGTCCTCCTCCATGCTCAAGTTCAGCCCACGCCTTGGGGGCTGTTCAAAGATTCTGAAGGCAGTCGGGCATTTTGGAAGCAGTTTCTCAGTCGTGGAAGCCATGCGTAGCTCCAAAGACTGTCTAAGATTCCAGAATCCGTTCTGCTTTGTCGGGCTGTTGTTCAGGGTTTCCAGAGAAACCGTGAAGGAAGTAGGGCCAGGATCTATGAGGTACTGCGGGTGGACGGATGGCAATGTGAGCGTCCAGCTTTCTCTCCGGGGTCCCAGTCTGGGAAACAGCATCTGCCACTCTGAGGAGCAGAAGGCGTGTGGGTGTCGGCAGCAGGCAAGGGGATTGAGAATCCAGATCTACCCCTCACATGCTGTGAGGCCTGAGGATACTTACTTAACCTCTCTGGGCCATCCGTAAAAAATGGGAATTGTTCACCTGTCCTGCGGGCTCCACTGTCTCTCCCATCTCATCTCTGACATCTGATGGGTTAGGGAGAGAACCCCCAACCCAGGGCTAAACTCTTTCCCATCCTAGTCTGCCCTGTGGCTCTCATGGGCCCTTGCTTCCTCTAGGCCTTTGCTCGTACTGTTCCCTCCGGCTGGAATGCTGTTCCATCCCTCCCTCTCCCGGCCCCAACGGCATCCCTGTTGCTGATTCTCCAGCTCTGTCACTCCTGGAGGAGCACTCTTTGTTTTGAGACTGGGTCTCACAGTGTAGCCCCACCTAAGCAGGAACTCACTCTGTAGACCAGGCTGGCCTCGAACTCACAGATTGGTCTGCCTCTGCCTCCCGAGTGCTGGGATTAAAGGGAGTGCCACCACACCTGGCCACTAGGCTAAAACTGCTCTCAGGCATCTCAAGGTGGCAATTTCACTAAGGCCCCAACTCCAGAGTCAGACCCCAGGCATGTGTCTGTGACGGGCACCGAGGCCTCCAAGTTCCCCTCCCATGGTAGGAACGCTGAATCTCATTCTAGGTCTTCCTCCTAGGTGTCCAAGCTCTAAGGAAGGAGGCCAGCCTCACTCTGGGGCTAGGAGCCACGGCCAAGTCCCCAATCCAAGGTGCTGACTGGCCTCCCAGGAGCCCGGGACCATGCTGCAGGCCTCTGAGACTCCCCGACCCATTTGTAGTGTTGTCAGCAGAAGGCTGACTCCCAGCTGGGGATCCACAGCAGCCCACGGGCCAAGGCGCCGAATCCACCCCACTGTCCTGGCAGACAGGAAGATCGATACCCCAGTGGACCGGAAACCTTGCTGCACTCCACAGCGGTCCCAGTGGGGAGAAGAATAAATAGAAGCAGGCCTGCTCCCTCCACGGGGTCAGGCCAGGCCAGGCCAGGCCAGTGTGGTGCTGATGTCACCACCTGTGGCACCCCACCGTGTTTACCCTTGAGCTGTTCTGATTGTTTTTTAACATCTGGCACCCATGGAAGCAGGTGCTGATATCTCCCCCATTTTTGCAGCTGAAAAGTGGCCCAGAGAAGTTAAGTGACTAACTAAGGTCACACAGGAAGTATCTCAGGCAGAATCAGAACTCAGACCCGCCAGTGTCACAGCCCATGCCAGTTCTTAGATAATTCTGCTCTCCTGGTTGTAGAGCCACTGAGGCCTTGTTCTGTCAGGAACTCCGTCCTGCTCAGACTCTGTCCTGGGGGCCTTCTCAAAGAGTGAGGAGATCGAGGGCTTTGGCCTTTGGTCTACCTGGGGTTGTCAGGGACTGGGGTGGCCCTGGGCGAGAGCTCCCTGAAGCGGTAGGAAAGACACCAGCCAGCCGGCTCTTAGCAAACAGCAATACAGGCATGGAAGAGCCGGGCAAGCCTTTAATCCCAGCACTCGGGAGGCAGAGCCAGCCGGGTGGATCTCTGTGAGTTCGAGGCCAGCCTGGTCTACAGATCGAGGTCCAGGACCGGCACCAAAGCTACTCAGAGAAACCCTGTCTCGGAAAACAAAAACAAAACAAAATACAGGCATAAAAGAAGAGCACTACCTTCTCCTGGTGTGGCCTGCACCCTTGTTTGCAGTGGGGTCTCACCCATAGGACTAAGGCCAGCCTGGGATTCTGCCAGCTTTGTACCCAGCAGGTGGGACAGGAAGCTGGAGACCCAAGTGTCCTGGGTCCAGCTAGGAGTCAGGCAGTTGCTTGGTAACTTATGCCAGCTTCTCCCCAGAGAGGAGCTCCGGTAAGGTACCTGTGTGTGGGTTTGGGACTTAACCCTCCAATGGGGGGATACTCTGAGCTGTATGGCCTTGAATGAGGCATTTAACCTCTCTAGGCCTCAGTCCATCAACTACTTCACTTCAGCTAGCCCTTTCACCCTCCCCTGGATCCTGTGGTCTGTCTTCATTAAGGGCTCTCAGGGAAGCCTGATCCATCCCTTCTTAAAATTCAGAACATCTGGCAGGTCCACAGACTCACACCTGTAACCTCTTTCCTCATGCCTCCCGCTCCTGTCCTCAGGCTAATTATTTCCTCCACAGTATCTCATGCAAGTCACTATCACTGCAGCGCACTCTCCGCCCTGCCCTGGATTCGCCACCCTGCCCTGGACCCGGCCTTGTCAGCTTCAGGATTGGAGCTCAGCCTCCTCAGTCGCTTCTGCCTTCCTCATCAACGCAGCACATCTTCCCAGTAGCAGAGCTCAGACTCCAGCTCGCCTGCAGGGAAGGCCTTTACCATCGTCCCTGGCTTCTCTCAGCCTTTCCCTTCCGTACAGGTTCAGCCCGGACATGCCTGTCCTCGGGCCTGCACCCAAGCAGCTTCCAAGGCTGGAAGTCCTCTCTCCACCTTACCTTCTTGATCTCAGGGCTGACATGCCCCCTGTAGGGACCCTTGGCTCTGCCCCCCCCCCATGCTCAACCTGTCACGCTGATCATCCTCACCGGCTGACCTGGCTCCCTTACCACTAGACACGGTTCCATGCCCACCCTCAAATGGTGGCTTCTGCCGGTTGGTGACACTGTCATGGTGGATCCTCACTTCCCAGTCCTCTGGTAGTTGTGGTCCGTTTCTGGTCCCAGATCCCCAGAACCATGCTGTGAGGTGTCAGGCAGTGCCTTCTCCTCCTGTGCCTCAGAGGACAGTGTCATCTGCAAGAGAGGACAGATGCTGCCAGCTTGTGCCTCTTCCTGCTTGTCTTGTGAAGACTTTTCATTCTGACTCAAAATTCTAGCTTCAGACCTGGTGTGGTGGCACACACCCACTATCCCAGCACTTGGGAGGCAGAGGCACAGTTCAAGGTTGGCTTAGTTTATATAATGAGTTTCATGCCAGCCAGAGCTACCAAGTGAAACACAGAGAGAGGCAGTGGGGAGGAGGACGAGATGGATGGAATGAACGAACGAACGAACGAACGAACGAACAAATGAATGAATGAATGAACAGGCGAACACACACACAGGCGCCAGCCACTGCCCCTCCCAGCTATCTTCTGTTCTACCATTGTTCCTAGCCTCTGGTGACCTGCCTGTCCCTCTCAGCCCTGTACTTCCTGTGCGAACTGAGGCTTCCTTTATGTGATCAGAGATTCAGGTTAAAGGTCAGGGCTGGAGGCTGCGCTGGTCCCCCACCATCCTCCAGTCACCAGACCCACCATCTGCACGACCCCAGTAGCACCATTAAGTTACCATGAGTCAAACTGAGTCATAAATAAGTAAAAGGGTGAGGGTCTCGGGGGGTTCACCCCAGCTGGCTGGCCTATCTCTGGCCAGATCTGGGGTCTTGGCTGCCCCTGGACAGACTCAGCCTGACAGATCTTGACATGTCATCCCAGTCCCCAGAGAGTGCTGGGGAGATCAGGGAGATCATCAGGCCTCCCTGGCCCCCATTAGTGTCAGTAATTGCCAATCAATTTCCTGGGAGCCTGGTGAGGAAGAAGCCCCAGGAGTCTCCCGCAGGGAAGCCACAACTAATGGCTTTTATTTGGATTGCTGCAAATTGATTGGATATTGCGTGTGTGTGTGTGTGTGTGTGTGTGTGTGTGTGTGTGTGTGTGTGTTTAAGATGGGGCATTGGTTTGCCTCCCGGACCTATAAACACCCCCCAGGGCCAGTTAGACCAAAAGATGAGTGATGGGGGAGATTGAACTCTCCCAAGATCTGAGACCAAGGTTGGCCTTCCAGTTCTACTCATAAAACCTCCATGCCACACACATGCCTGTGGCCCCGTCTCCCTGGGAGTAACTCTGCCCAGGTCTTCCCAAAGGGCACCAGTGGAAATTTCCTGAAGACCCCAATGGAATCTGTATCAACATCTCTAGGAAGAGGTGACTATGACGATATACAGCTCTCATCCAGTACTAGGAAGGCTGAGACAGGAGAATTGCTGTAAGTCCCAGGTCAGCCTGGGCTACAGAGTGAGGCCTCACCTCAAAAAAACATGGGGATGCAGCTCAATTGGTAGAGGGCTTGCTTCGATAACCCAGAGCCACATAAAACTAGGCGTGGTGGTGCGTGCCAGTGATCCCAGCACTCCAGAGGTGGAGCAGAAAGATCAGAAATTCAGGATCATTCTCAGCTGCAGAGTGAGTCCAAGGCCATCCTGAGCTACACATGAGACCCAGGAGGGAGGGAGGGAGGGAGGGAGGGAGGGAGGGAGGAAGGAAGGAGGGCTGGTCCCAGAAAGATAGGAAAAGAGGGCAGGCCAGAGAGGTGGTGAAGCTAGGTCACAGTCACACAGCCATTAAGTGGCACCTGGAAATCAGAACCCAGATTTTTTTTTCCAATGTGCCACACATGAAGGCAGATGTTACATACCTAAAAGCCAGTGAGCTGCAAGGGGAAGAAATGTCTAGAAATGGAACAGTGAGGCGGGGCATGGCCTCCTATAGAGGCCAGTCTTAAGAATCACAAAACCCAAATGTCTGGAGAGATGGCTCAGTGGTTAAGAGCACACTGGCTGCCCTTCTAGAGGTCCTGAGGTCAATTCCCAGTACCTTTTCTGGTGTGCAGTTTACACATGCAGACAAAATACCCATGTACATAAAATAAACAAATAAAAAAAACTCACAAAACCCAAGTACACTCAGCTCCCCCTGTCTCTCCTGCATTCTGGAACTTTCTTCCGATTGCCAGGTTGCTCCTCTGTCTGGCCATGCTGGGTGGAGACTGTGGCCCCTGGACTGAGCAGCAAAGGCCATGAGTCCACTCCCTGTCTTGACACTGGGGCTGACTGATCTTAGCTCTTCATATTCTGTGCTGATCATATCCAGGGTCTTTCCTGCCTTGTCCATTGGTTTATGAGACATTCTGAAGCCAACGCTAGCTTTTGCTTGACAGATGTCATCCTAGTGCCAACAGGATCATGTATGACTTAGTACATGAGCTCCAGAGGTGGCACTTGAGGACAGGACAGCGGATAAAGTCCTTGAATGATGCTGGGAGGAGAGATGGTTGTTGCTAGGTACCAGCTGTGTGCCAGTTACAAGACTACAGTAAATGTGAACAAGTTATATCCTTGTGTGATAAGCAGTCACTCAGGGTTAAAAATAGAATAAACTTCCTTTCTCTCTCTCTCTCTCTCTCTCTCTCTCTCTCTATCTATCTATCTATCTATCTATCTATCTATCTATCTCTATCTCTTTCCCTC